AGATAAATAAAAAAAAAAAAAGAAAAAAAAAAAGAAAAAGAAGGAAATATTTATTAAATTTAATAAAATACAAAATGAAAGCATCGTCTTTACCTGTCTGCGTAAGGTCTCATTTTCCAACACAGCTCGTTGTTCCTGAATGAATTGGAAAAGGAGACTTCAGGAGAAGAGAAATATAGTCTACCACTAAAGCTAACAATTTTGCCATGATAGCAATATTCCTTAGTGTAAGTTGGTTTCTTTTCTTGGAAAGATTAGCTTCACTCTTACACGGAAAACATAAAATAAAGATACAGATTAGCTTGGCAAATTATAGAAGCTAAACTCAAGGTTGATGACAAACTTAAGGTATGCACCACCAATTGATGAAAGCTAATGATACCTACTTAACTTCATCTGGGTTGTTTTCTCAAAAGGGTTCGTAGTTGTTATAATCCTTCATCAAAATAAAATAAAATCTTTACCTGCATTCTGCATTGATCTAGTTGCTGCATCAATACCTTCTCCTACAAATTTAGAAAAATAAAAATTATAAAAAAAAAAAAAAAATCACTTTGGGTACGAAAAATATCTTTAGCAACTCAATCGAAATGTAAAAGAAAAACCTTTCGTTCCTTTATGCACCACAGCCCTTCATTTAGTTGTCGTTCGAGTGCATGCAACTCTTGTAAGCCCATGCCTGTTAAATCTTTACCCAACAATTGCCTGCTCAATTATGGCCATAGAGAATTGAGATAAGAGATTTCAAGAATATTCATGGCAGATAATTCAATATTTTTTTAGAAGTAGTACAGCTGTTTTAGTTTGAGATTTTCTATCTCCACTTTCAGGGCATCTGTCTCGTTAGGCTGCTGCACCATCTGGTTGATAAAAGAAGTAGTAAAAAACAACAGTCAGAAATATAAACCGCACCTCAAAAAAAATTAAAAAAAATAACAGTGATGTGGTTACTCTTAAAACAATAAACAAAAGAATAATACTATAGGAGTAGTGGAAACATTGGAAAACCATTCCTTTTTGTATTATTTATTTAAAGGTACTCTGTTTACAGCTCCTCAAACCATTCCTTTTATTTCACTATGACAATCATATCAAGCTTCAATGTGGTTCAATTTGGAATAATGTCTATGGAAAGGTATATATAGCAAACGATAGACTTGAGGATTCAAATAATAATAATAATAATAATAATAATAATAATAATAATAATAATAATAATATCAGGCATATACCTCAGGCTTGGATTCCTCTATAGGAACCTGTTTTCCATCCGAGCATTTCTTGTATCTCGAGAGTATTCTCTTCATGCTGCAGTTAGGTGCATATATTAATCCATAAGTTACATCAAAATGCAAACATTTGCATACAAACAATACAAGTCTGGGCGTTTTAACCAACAAAATCTTCTGCTTTCACGTTAACTGAAGCTAACAGTCCACAACACCATCACATTTAGGTAGACTCGTAAGAGAATGAAAAGGTAAAATTTAAAAATTGATTGTGATTATGCTCACTGGGAATGTAATTTGAGTAATAAAGATTAATTCAACTATCGGAATCAGATAACAAGAGCTAAATCTTCTCATTGCACTAAATATGATTCTCAAACCAGAATCAGAGTAGACAAAAATAGGATACAATTAGTATGCCTAAAATTACATACCACGCAGATAAAGCTTCAGGTAACATGAGCCGCATTCCAATTTCTGGAAAAGCCGAGCACCTTAAATATATGGATTGTTTTTCCACAAATTTCTATAATGGCCTTTGTAGCATATTCAGTAGTGTTTCCTACTTAGATCCCAGTATCCAATAGCAGATTCTCATGTTATGTGAACATATTTTTATAAAATGGGAATGTTGACCATAAAGAAGAAAATGTAAAAATGCACTTTGTCAGCTCATTGTCTTGAGATTAAGTTACTAATTTTTTTCTTTTCTGTGTTATCAAGAGCCTCAATATAATTTAATAAAATTAAAAATGCATTTGGTAATTATATATATATATATATATATATTGTGTAGGTAAACATCCTTAAACATAAAGGCAGCCAAATAAATTTTGACTATGCAGAATTTTAGTAAATAGTTTATAACAAGATGTCATGAAAAAACTAGATTTAATCTCAAATCTGAATAAGTAAAACAATAAAATAATACGTACCAGAATAAAATGATTACATACTTGAAATTATTACACAAAAAGAAAACAGTTATAAAAAATTAATTATCTAGCAGAAAAGTTTCCAATGTTTGAAAAAAAAATTAGAATTCTTTTTAAGTTGTACTACTGTACTAGATAATGTAGTTTTATATTCAATGAATCAAAGAGGAGCAAAAATGTCCACATATGATATAACCTTTCCATTTCTTACATAGATCCTAAATATTTTACCTTTCCACTAACTATTTCATAAATCCTAAATAATCCTAGCAGCAATCGGCAGTTTGTCACACATAGAAACATGAAAAGGTAACATATGAAATTAAAATATATTATAAATAGACCACAATCACCAATATGACCACCTAAAAATCAGGGGAGAAAAGTAGAATAGAGATAAGGAGATTGGAACAAATATCTTAAGAAATCTAAAAAAAAATCTCTAGAGAAACCGAAAACCTCTCTTTGAGTTCCATAAAAATTAAACCAATAACCGACGTAGAATTTATTGGAGCACAAAAGGGAAAGATTTATTTTCCCCTCATTAATAAGCACCAAAAGAGAAGAAAAAAGATACTAAAATCTCTAATCAGCCCCAAAAATAAAAAAATCCAAATTAATTAAGCATCAAGAAAGCCACATGCAGATCTACAAACCAGTAAATCAAGAAATTTCAACATCCATCCAATAAATCTACTTCAATAATAAAATATTTCATCACAACCCGATCACCAGACCAAAAACCAACGGAAGACAGAGTAAAACACACATGCAACCACAAGGCATATTCAAAAAAATCCTCCAAATTACTATACAAAACAAATCTAAGAAAAAACGTTCAAAATCAGAAAAAAAAAAAAAATAAAAAATAAAAAAACAGCGGCAAGCAAACCTGGAACTAGAAAACTCGAACAACTTCCCAGTGTTAGAGAAGATGATAACGGCGATGTCAGCTTCGCACAAAATCGCGAGTTCCTTGGCCTTCTTGAACAAGCCCATTCGCCTCTTGGAGAAAGTGACCTGTCTGCTATTCGGGTTCTCGATCTTCTTAATCTCGATTTTGCCCCGACCCATTTTCTCTCTGTAAAACCCACCAAAAATCGCCGCTCAAAAGACCCAAATTCGATCTGTTCAAAATTCGAAAGATTCAATTTTTATTAACTTTTTTTTTTTTTTTTCTGTTGGGAGGGGCGACTGAAAAAGATTGGGGGAAAAACAAAAATAGAGAAGATTGCCAAAATAAGAATAGACAGGGAGAATACAGAAGGGTGCTAGAGAGAGAAAGAGAGGGTATTTATAAGGCCACAAATGGCACTCGAAACGGCAAGCTTTGCTTTGCATGGCCTATCCAATGTATACAGATATTGCATGATTCTGTTTTTATTTTTCCCTTTTTATTTTTTCCCTTTACTTGCCACATTCAGCTCGGGCTTTGTTTTTATTGGCCTAGTTTGGGTGTGGGTCCCGCATAATATTTCACTTTTTCCTGCTTCTATATATGTAGCATAGCATGTTTTTTGGTAAAACCTGTTTTTGAAGATTCCCTGTTTTGATAAATAACTTGTAAGGTGCGATTTAGGTGGTGTAATCAATTTCGTCTACTGATTTTCTTTTTTCTTTCCTCTTTACTTATTTGATACATAACTATATATATATTTTCTTTAGTTTATAATCTATAGTAATATAAAGAGGTTGTTGGAAAAATACTTTTATAGTAAGTTTGACTAAAAAAATAAATGATTTGACTTACTATTAATGGAAATTTCGAAAAAAACACATGTACCAAAAAAATTGAGATTTTTATGGTAACAAATTTGGAGATTTTTATGGTAACAAATTTAATTGAGAAATCCCAAAAAAATTGGAGATTTTTATGGTAACAAATTTGGAGATTCCTAATCAAAATTTAATTCATTTTAAATATTAATCCATAAGAATCTACTTTTATTGGTAACAAATTTGAAGATTGTTATGCCAAAAATTTGAGATTTTGAATTGAGATATTCCAACAATTATGGATTTTTTTCCCATTCAAATTAATGTTGTAAATCAAACAAAAAATTATTCCAAAAATAATGGATGTTATACCAACTATTGATAAACTCCAATCCCATAGTAGATTTCTATGGGATTCTTATGGTAACAAATTGGAGATTTTTATGCCAAAAAATTGAGATTTTGAATTGAGATATCATAACAATTTCGGATTTTTTCCCCTTCAAATTCATGTTATAAATCAAACAAAAAATTATTCCGAGAATAATGGATGTTGTACTAAATATTGATAAACTCCAATCCATAGGAAATTTTTATGGGTTTCTTATGGTAACAAATTTAGAGATTCTTAAATTAAAATTTAATTCATTTTAAATATTAATCCCATAGGAATCTATTTTTATTGGTAACAAACTTGAAGATTCTTATGCCAAAAAATTGAAATTTTGAATTGAGATATTTCAACAATTACGGATTCTTTTTTTCATTCAAATAATGTTGTAAATCAAACAAAAAATTATTCCGAGATATGGATGCTATACTAAATTAATATCACTGGGCTCACACGTTAATATGATATTAATTAGATAGATAAATTACGTAAATCTTTCCTAACAAAATGCGTTCCAATATTGTTAACTAATTTAATGGGATTTTGTTAACTAATTTGATAGAATTTTGGTAACTACGGGATTTTGTTAGCTTTTCATGGAAACACGTATCTTCATTATTGATAAGGTTTGATAAGATTTTGTTTCCAATTTTTTTTTTCCTCTCTCGAAAATTTGATAAGATTTTTTTCTCTCTCTCAAAAATTTGAGTTGTGGATTTGAAAAAAAATAAATAAATAAAATAAACATATCATATTGATAAAGTTTTAGTGTGGGCATAAAAGTCAATTTTGATTTGATTGAACTTTGTTTCATATAAACCTAAAAGAATCAGACGTTTGAAAAAATAAAATATTAATAGTAAATAATCATACCATATTTGTAAGGTTTGATTTGGAATATTGTGGTATAAAAATCAATTATGATTTGATCACATTTTGTTTTATAGAAGTTATCTTAGAAAATTTTACACGTTTCAAAAAATTAAAGATTATAATTTCGTAGATTAATGTTTTGGATTTGCACAAAGAAATAGGAAAATATGAAAATAAAAATAATATTTTTCAATCTATCCAAAAAGTCTTACCAAATTTCATTGTAACAAACTCCATTATTTTTGGCTACATAATCTTCTAAATATTCGTTCGTCCCTCACAAGTGAATCACATTCCACATTTTTTTTTTTTTAACAAAACCGATAACACATATTTTTAGAAGTCAATTATAATCATAATAATAAAAAAAAACGAATCGGATCATATTAAATACCTTATGTAAATATTTTTTTTTTATTTCCGAGACATATGTCACATACACATGACTATATAAACACCACCAACGTTGAACAAAAAGTATTCGACGTCCAATATATCCCACTAAATAATTTTTTCTACAAGTTTTTACATCACCATTGAAAATGGCTTCGGATTTTGGAGTAATCAAGGATATCAAAAGATCTAATAAGCCACCAATCAAGCTACACATAATTAGGATGTTCCAACGAGTTGAAGACGTACGCAATTACCGAAATATTCTTGAGATTATCTTTCATGATTTTGAGATAAAATATTCATTTAGTATTATTTAAATGCATCATTTTATGCAACATCTTTTATAATTTATTTATTAAATTATTCATTATGCAATGTTTTAGGGAGGACGAATTACTGACATAATTCGACCTGTCAATATCCAAAAAATCATTGGTGATATTGAAGAAGGTGACGCTTATATCTTGACAAACTATCAAGTGAAAAGCAATATTGGCATCCATAAATCGACGATAGGAAAAAGGAGGATCATTATCAATGGTCAAACCAAAATTATCAAATGGAGGGGTGATTTTCTTATTTCTAACTTTAATGGATGTTCGTAACATTGATGAAGTAATGTTGTTTGGTACGTTATAATTTTTTTGTTTATTTCTTATTTCGATTTTTTTTTTAAATTTAAAATCTGTAATAAACTATTTTATATGTTATATATTTCAATATGATGCATTTTCTTATATTTTTGTAGATGTTATTAGATTGATTGTTTTCCATTATGTTTTCTTATGCCATTACTATAAATAAGAGCCAAGAACAATCATTATCGCATGTGGGCTTATTTCTTAAGAAACAATGTTTAGTCATGGTCAATTGTATGTTGCTGTCTCCTGTGTCACAAACAAAAATGGGTTTGAAAGTCCTAATTTGTGGCGACGATGACGTGCCAAAGAATCAAACCATGAACGTTGTATATAAGGAAGTGTTCAATAATATATAGATTTTAGTATCATTGTATTTATTAATTTATTTATTATTAATGACATGATCTTTCCTTTAGTAAGTACTTTGATTTTAACTGAACATTGCTTTATAAAAGAGACGGAGATAATAAATCCCCGTGCATCGCACGGGAACTGTACTAGTTTGTAGTAAAACTAAGATTTTCTTTAGTTAACCTACTCGTATAACTCGTGTATTATATGAGTGCTTATTAAAAAATTATACTTTATAAAATAATAGTGCAATATTCGTGTATTACATGGGTGTTTTTTAAAAAAATAATATAAATTTAAAAAATAATTAAAAAGTTATGCATTAAATATATATGTTTTTTGAAAAAATATAGTATTACTATTTATATTTAAAATGATATTATCACATCGTTAGGGAGGGAAGGAGCGGGAGAGAGAATGATAGAAAAAGAAAGGGATGGAGGCAAGAGGGCGAGAGAGAGAGGGAGCTAGTGAGAGAGAGAGAGAGAGAGAGAGATTCGTTTCAACATCAAAAACAACAAAAATTAGAGCAAACATGTAATAACGAATTCGAACTTGTAACCAAGTGTCTCGTAGGAGTCTGGGTCGTGTCTCAATCCCAGTGTGGCTGATGATCCTCTCGGACCAACTACTGATCATGGCCTTTGTAAACTATTGCCTAATTTTTCTTACATCTCCCCTTCTCACAGCCCAAGTATCGTAGTTGGATAATTTATTAAAATCTCCCTTTGGAGAGGAAAGGGTGGATTGTTAGTATGGACGATTTAGAAGATATAGTCGAAGGACATGTAGTGTTTGGTTCCATTTTCATACTGGGCGGAATCTGGCATATCTTTACTAACATGCAGCAAAATCGAGCAGTGGATCTTAGAAGAATTCCACTTTCAAGCCTTTCTATTTATGTGTTGGCGAATTGTCTCCCTTCCTCTTTCAATCGAAAGACTCGATGCAGATAGCTCGCTCAGGTGGCCCCCGCTTCTCCCTCCGTCAGGCGGCGACAGAACCCACCTCCATAGCCACAATACGGAGGAGAGAGAAAGAGAGAGAGAGAGACACCATATATGTTACAACAACAGTTTGGTATGTAACTATAAAAAAGTTTGGTATGAAAACACAAACTTTTTGTACACATCAACAATTTCCATTGCTTCCTCCCGCGATCAAGAATTTCGATTTCCAATAAGTCTCATGATCATCCAATAACAATAAGAAGGGTTTCCATTTTTTCAAATGAACAACTTGAAGACCTATTGATTCTACAACTGATTGCAAAATTGATCATTCAGACCTTTCAATTCATAGGTGTAGATCTCAGACCTATGAATGGAGATATTCCCCAAACTCACCCAGAAAAAAGGAAGGAAGTGAGTTAGACAAAAAAAGAAGTGACTAGGACAAAAAGAAAGGAAGTGGCTTGGACAAAAAGAAACGAAATGGTTTCACAAATGACAGCATATATGTTACAACAGTTTGGTATGAAACTATAAAAAGTTTGTATGAAACACACACTTTTGGCTTAATTTGTACACATCAACAATTTCCACTGTTCAGAACCCTGAACCCTGAACACAGGCAACATTTTTCTCTTTTACTCTCTCCTTCGACGAATTAACCCCTACCCAATTGCCAGGAGCTAAACTGCCATAAAAGTTCCTGTACATAATTACATAAAAAGGAAATGATTATTATTATTATTACTACTTCATTTGAACAATGACAAAAATGGTGCTTCAAGGGAAAAAAATGATTGCATACCATGTTTGTTCTATTTGTCATCTCTGAATCACATCATCAGGCAGAAGGATTTCTGATGTATTGTCAAAATCAGTCGGTTCATTTATCTTTTTACAGACGTAAATGAAATGAGAATCAGGGTCTTCCATAACATAATTTGCGTTAAGTAGGCCTTTTTCTGTGAGAGGAACAGGCTCCACGAGTGATTTCAAAGAGGTGGACCCAGCTGGCCTTTGAAATCCGGGTCTAGCTGCATAGTGGATAATATAACATAATCTTTTCATAATCTGATAATTTTTTCACAAACAGTTGATCACATCATATGTAAGTTATAACATCTATAATTCGTTCAACTTATCCAGGTTCAATATTCCGTAACAACATTGAAAACTTATGCTTAGATCAACAGCTCCCAAGCCAAACTACATAGATTCAAAGGGCTACAATGACATCATTTTACCTCAGATTTTGGTACTAGAGCTAGACAAGATTTATTCCAAGGTATCGGAATATCATAACTTAATCTAATGTCACCTTGGACTAAAACCTGGAATTCTCTAAATCCTAAAGATACAATCTCCATAAGCGCATGTTTTTGGTTTTAACTGAAACCTTGAGCAGCCAACAGAAAGCATTATAGCAACTACTGACAGTGCAACAAAGGTAATATAATCGCAACTAATTTA